TCTAAACAAATCAAAACCATTTCTATTTTTCTTTCTTCTAGTTTGAAAAGGTCCCCTAAAGTTCTTAGAAACATTTTATTCTTATGAGAATCTTTATTATACAGTTAATTTGCTTTATAAGAGTACAAAGAATTTATATGAGTATAAATTCATAAATTTTAATGAATTTCAGGTCCAATTAACCAAATTACAAATGTATCACATTAGCCTATATAAATAAAAGAAATAAACTGTATCCACGACTGTGCATAATATGATAGTGATTTTCTTTTTTTTTTCAATGTCGGAGTACTGCTATTTATTCAGCCATTGATTAAGCTGATTGAATTGGGCATGAACACTACATTACTTTTTTTTTTAATTGAATGACCATGAGATGCAGTTACAAAGCTTTCATGTTTGAGATTCAGTTGTACAATGATAGAAAACCCATACCTCCACCAATGCACACTTTCCACCACCAGTGTCCTCAGTATATCTACACACACACCCCACCCCAGCCTTCATCCTGCTGCCTCCATGGCAGGTTATTTCCCCAATATTCTCTCTACTTTGGGGCATTATGCTTTGCTTGCATTTTCCTACCACCATTCAAGCCTGCCTGCCAGGGTCAGATGCTAGATCATTTATTGCCCATCACTCATTTTTAATATCTTGGTTTGCTGCAGCCACGCGCTTCTGGAATTCTAGATTGTAAATGGTAGAGTTCCAGAGACATTTCTATAGGGCATTAATTCATTTTGGGATTCAACTGGGTGTCTCTAGACCAGGTCTGTTTGTGTGGCAAGATGACATGCCAAGGCACATTGTGGACATGACAACCAGGCTGATGAACTGACAGGGAGTCTGGCACTTCTGCTCCACAAGGCATGGAGATTTAATACTGGAACCCACATACCTAGGCCTTGCATGTGGAAGCTCTTGGTCGCCAGGATTCCATATGGAGTAGACAGGAAGACTGCACCTGCTCCATCTGGGTTACCCCAGTGAAATTGGTTTAGTATGGGTTCTCGAGAGATCTCTGGTTCTGTGGTGTCTTCCGGGACTCACTTCTGTGTCTCTGACTTTTGATCTTTTTTGAGATTTATTTATGGGTCTCTGAAACAAGGCCAGTAATAGAGTTTACAGGGTGGTGCTGGTGTTGGTTCATGGGGGAAACTGTCAGTGCTTCCATGTGTATGGGGAAGTGGGTGGAGGTAGCCCACCCCAATTCTGTGAAAGCCTGGAGATTTCAGTCACAAAACCCGCATTACCAAATTTTCAGCAGATTATATCTTGGTGAGGTCTGTCCTGAGACGGTCAGGCTGGGGGTATGGCAGTGATTTTGGACTGTGGTAGCAAGCAGCTGCTGGGGGCTCTGCTTGGGCAGGCACCGCCAACTTGCCCCTCTCTGATTTACTCTAGTCTGTTCAGCCATGCATGGGTCCGAGGTTAACTGTAGCTTTTGGTCTCTTTTGAGATTTTTCTATGGATCTTTGAGATAAGGCCAATAAATGAGCTAATATAGCTGAGCCCGAGGTGGTTTGTGGGCATGGCTCCCACATACCTAACTTTTGGCCCTTTAATTTCTTGGGCTGGAACAATAGCACAGCGGGTAGAGGGTTTGCCTTGCAAGTGGCCAACCTGGCCAACCCAAGTTCGATTCTTCTGCCCCTCTCAGAGAGCCCGGCAAGCTACCGAGAGTATCTTGCCCGTATAGCAAAGCCTGGCAAGCTACCCATGACGTATTAGATATGCCAAACACAGTAACAACAAGTCTCACATTGGAGATGTTCCTGGGCCCACTCGAGCAAATCGATGAACAACGGGAGGACTGTGACAGTGACAGTGAATTTCTTGGTAAACTTGGTCCCAAGTTGTTAGGGTCCGGCCAAAGGCACAGCAGCAATTTTAAGGTGTCAGGAAGCCTGAAGGCACAATCAGGCTGCTGAATCACTCGCTCCACAGGTATAGGTTGACCTGTTGGTGGCACCATACCTCCCAGATAGTGATTTTTAAAAGGCATTTTTGGAATTCCACGTGAAGTACCTTCTTTCAAACTCAGTCACCTTCCGCAGTTTTTATTTTCATTATTGTTTGCCTCTTATCTACTTATAACCACACCAAAGGAGTCAAAGAACATCTGGCAGACAAAATTCCAGCATCTGGGGTCAGGGGTATCTCTCAAGTGTAAGGCCTCTTAATTTAAACCTTTGCCCTATATGCTCGGGCTTGAGCAGTAGCACAGCAGGTAGGACATTTGCCTTGCACACAGCCGACCCAGGTTCAATTCCTCTGTCCCTCTCGGAGAACCCGGCAAGCTACCGAGAGTATCACGCCCACATGGCAGAGCCTGGCAAGCTCCCCATGGAGTATTCAACATGCCAAAAACAGTAACAACAAATCTCACAATGGAGACGTTACTGGTGCCCGCTCGAGCAAATCGATAAACAGTGGGAGGACAGTGCTACAGTGCTACATGCTCAGCCCCTGGCCCAACAGTGCCTCTAAGCACTTCTGGACTGGTATGCATCCAGCACCATAACTGAACATCTGTCAGGAGTGAGCCCAATCCTCCCAGCCCCTTCCTCCAGCACCACTGAGTTTGACCCCTCTTAAAACAAATCCAGCTCCTGATATAAGCCTTATAAATTACTAACTTTCACTTAGGACAGAATTTCAGTTCTGACTGCTGAAGCCTGACACAGCACTAAATACGCCACCTTTCGGAGAATCTTACCTATTCATTGGTTTTGGTGTAACTGTGAGACACCCACATAGAGTGATTTAAAGAAAACTTGATCTTTAGTTCTCTTTTACATAAAGAAATTCCAAACTCAAGAATTACTATGACCCTTCAGAACTCAATCAAGAATGAGGTTTCTTGTATGTCTTGCTCTGCCATCTTCAGGTCTACTTTACATCTTGTGGTTCAAGGTATCTGGTCCTTTTTGGGCAGTAACCCAGCAGGAAGAAAGAAGAACTTGTACATTCTCCTGTAGGATCCGTCCTGGAAAGTGCACCCTTTGAAATTACATACAGTGGTTGAGAAATTTGTCACATGGTCAGCCTAGCTGAGAGGTTCTTTATTGTATGTTCACAAAGTAAAGAATGCGGCACTCTAGAAATGCATTTGGTGATATGAAGTTACTTTTCTCACCCCAGATGGCCAACGGCAAAGGGTGGATGAAGGGAAACAAGGGCCAGGCTGGTTGGTGATCAGTTGCAGTTTATTCCAATAAAGTCTCCCTCTGCCACCTTCCAGTCTTACCCACTCCCATAAGCCTCCTCATTCCTGTCTCCTACCTTCCTCCATTCTGGTCTCCCTAGCAAGTCTCATAGCCTTGTCAAGAGTCCAACTACACCCAGGTGAGAAAGCACAATCAACATATGAAAGCCCTTCCTTCTGGGGAAGCTCTTCTAAGACAAAGATCTCCTCCTGCTAGGAGATCTGCTCAAGGGTGGAATTTCATCCAAGGACATATTTCTTCTTTCTTTAGTCCATAAACAATCATCTTAGGTTTACTTCTTAATAAATTTCTAGTCATTTGTATGGACACAATAAGAGATATATTAAGCTTATAGGATGGCTCTCCTGGGGACATCTCGTTATAGATCCCAGACAACAGACTCCTAACTCCAATATGGTCCTTGACAAGTCACTTCTCTTTGGGTCATGACAGAATTTGTCCATGACCATGCCCTTAACTTATAGTTAAGTATTATGACGCTTGACCTGTCCCATTTTGATATCAGGGTAGCTTACAGATTGCCCTAGGTCCATCCAGTCCCTTCATTGGGACCCTACTTTTGGAGTGCTAGAAACCAAGGGCAACTGAGGCTGAAGTTGAGTAAATATGAAGATGCCCAGGAGTAAAGATTATTCAGAATCAGTTAACTCCCATGTTACAAAAACATAGCATAGTCTTCCTGTATCTATATTAAAAGGACACTGCTCTAAAGTAAACTATGCAAAGAACATAAGGGAAAGAGAAAAACAATATTTCGCTCACAAAAACAAAATCCAGAGTCCTTAGAGAGATCTGACCTTCCAAGTCACAGGATCTGATTTGGGGATATAGTTGATTAACAGAGAGGGGAAGCAGAACACAGAGAAGTTAAAGTTAAACACAGAGGAATGGGAATGCCTCAGGAGCACTGTGATGGGTGTAACTCAGTAAACCTAAACTCCTTGGGGAGGGGCAGAGGAGAAAGAATGAACCGTTGTTAAACCTGAAATGTTTAGAACTATAATCCAACCTTTTATCCTGTGCAGCTTGATTCCATGTAAAAAGCAGGGGTTCCATTCAACACTGTGAGTGAAGAAAGAATCAAAACTTGGGGACAGCAAGCAATCTCTCCTCTAAAGCTCTTATGGCACTCAGTGACTTTACTTAAAAAAAATTCTACTCTTTCTCTGCTCTGTGTTCGATTTGTCATGTTATTTTCAATAAAAAGTGACTTTCTTTTTCTTATGAACAAGTGAAGAGATCGTTCCACTCACATCTCCCATTGTGACATTCTGTTGCTAAAAAAGATTGGTTCCCGCAGTTGAAAGCCTGCCTCAAGGGCTGGGGAAGAGGATAGTTGGGACAGAGAAGCGACCTTATGACAATAATGATTGGAAGGATTGCTCCAGATTGGAGATGTATGCTGAAAGTGTGCAAATGACTAAACATGATGGCCTCTCAGTATCTTTATTGCAAATAATAATGCAGAGAGAGAGAGAGGAGGGAGAGAGAGAGAGAGAGAGAGAGAGAGAGAGAGAGAGAGAAAGTGTCTGCCTGGGGGGAGTGGTAGGACGGATAGGAGGGATATGGGGACATTGGTGGTGGGAAATGTACACTGGGGTAGGGATGGGTGTTGGAACACTGTATGGTTAAAACTCAATCATTAAAGCTTTGTAACTATGTCACAGTGACACAGTGATTCAATTTAAAAAAAAATTAAAGAGAAAAAAAAAAGATGACTTCACTCTCCTGCTGAATTCCATCATGTTGGTGCATTTCTTCCCTCTGCAGGTGATGGCTGTGCTGCCGGCCCCTCCGAAGCTGCTGGGAGTGCTCCTTACCTTTTCCCTGGGCTCCATCAGGCTTGTGCAGGCCGGCGCCTACTATGGGATCAAGCCACTACCACCTCAGATCCCACCACAAATTCCACAATACCAGCCCCTGGGCCAGCAAGTACCTCATCTGCCTCTGGGTGCAGATGGCCTTAGCATGGGCAAGGAGCTGCCTCACATGCAGTATGGCAAAGAGTATCCTCATCTACCCCCGTACAGGAAGGAAATGCAGCCGTTGCCAAGAATGGGCAAGGAAGTGGCACCCAAGAAAGGCAAAGGTAACATATGTGTTTTTGTTTTGCGTCATAAAACAGCAGCTTTCCAAAATCCTAAACTGACAGCAGGAGGGAAAGTTAAAATTTTGGGTATTTTTTTATTTAGAATACATTACCAGCTTTCATTACATGCCTACAATACTCAAAACTCTGTGCTTGAAAAGTTCCAGTCCCATAAAAAGATACAAGGAAAATGACCATTTTGTGCTATGCCTTGTTATTATAATAGCATCAAATGACACAAACCATATTAATCACAAATGGTTTATTCGCTTATTCATTCTTTATTCAAATATTTGGCAACTCCTTAATGGGTCTCTATTTTTGTATTAGGCTATAGGCCAGATGCTGGGGGATATTAAGTTACTACCCATATTCCATCAATAAACCAACAAGTAACTAAAGTATAGACTGCCTAGAAATGAGAGTTGAAACTCCCCCCCATGTCTTTTTAGGAATGTTCATTAGTTATTTAACATCTAGCAAACGCTTGTCATGTGAGAGATTGCTTATAAATTCACCTGGCTTATCTGGAAAGCTAGCATTTGCATGAAAGGAACTTCACCAAAGTGGTTAGTCTCTTTAAGAAGTAGAACCTCTCCCACTGGTCACAGCAGAATTACTAGATGGGGACTTGGGAGTCTGCATGCCAGAAAGGAGAGAGATTTAGTTAGCTAACCTCTTTGGACTTACTTCTCTTCATTTCTAAAGTACAACTGTTGATGGTATCAATGGCATAAGTGTTAAGTACTAAGGGCTAAAGCACCACAAGACGTTTTGAGTTACTTATAGTCAGTTTTCCAACCAAGTAGGAAAGAACAGTATATGTTTCATATGTTCCAGGCCCTAAGCCTGGGGCCAGCACCAGGGCTCTCTGATGAATAGGACAGGACAGAGCCAAGTCCAAAATGTTTGCTTAGTATCGATACAACACAAGGCACTGTCAAAAAACAGCATGCCTTTGATGTGTTACCATCACAACTATTAGCATGCAATTTTCTTCTCTTTAGAAATTGATACTTCACTTAATCTTGGCCATTTCTTCCCCCCCCCCCCCCTTTCTTGAATGGTCGTTCTGGCTTTTGGTACTTCTTGTCAGATGGGTACCAGAGATCTATTCAGGAATTTGAAATGAGTGATGGTCATGGTTCTCTTTTTTTGTTCCTTTAGTTGCTCAGTGAATGAACATGATGATAAGGCTTTGGGGTCATGAACTTCGTTTCTCAATATTAGCCATTATTGCTAGAAACATGGGAGAGTCAGAGCTGTGTTCCACAGCAAAATATAGTATAATCATTATAATAACATGTGTTTCATATTTTAACATTTTCAGAAAACATAATACCTATCTTATCCATTACTAATGTTATAGTGGGGTGTATTTCTTCATTATACTTATCAGCAAACAGAAGCAAATAACCTAAGTGACTTAGTATAAATGCTTTCTTCTTTTAATACCAAATTAGGAGCTTTCTGCTTTTAATCCCAACTTAATTCCTAATCCATACTGTTTGGTATCCTAAAAATTTTGTATTCACTCCTGTTTAAAAATAAAATTTATGACTGGGAAATAAATTATTAAAGAATTAGTATCTGAATTTGAGGAAATCTTACAGCACATTATTTGCTTATTTGACAGTAAGCGATTCAAAACTCTAGAGGATGGATTTGGAGAGTGTTATTAAGACACACACAAAACAAATAGTGCTTCAATTACCCCCTAAGTCCACCTCACCTATGTCATGTATTTTAGCACAAGAGGAAATAATAATTGCTATAAACTTATATTAAAATCTAAGTATAGAAAAATACAATATAACATTAAGTTGAAAAAATAAAAACCAACATTTAAAACATGTATATGCAAACACACACACACACACACACACACACACACACACACACACACATTCCTAGAACACAGTATTGTAGTATAAGCAGGCACTCAGGTTCTTGTCCTCAAGCGGTCAAGATTGAGAATAAGGGCAAGAGATCGAGTGACTGAATCCAGAAAAAACTTGAAGGGAAAGGAAGGTAGTAGAAGTCAGGGAAGCTTTATTTAAGGGAAGGGAAAGGAAGATAGCAGATGCAGATTATATAGGTGGGGTCACATGAAAAAGAATTCCAGAGAAAAGCAAAAATCTTTCACCTTTCATACCTATTTAGCAAAGAAGGGTAGGAGCATTTCTTTATTGTGTTCCAAACATGTAAGTCATTAAATGTGGGGGGGGGGGGGGGACATTAAAATGATTATCCTCTGGTGTCTGGTATCTAGAATATTCAGCCATCCAGGTTATCAGGCACCATCTTGGCCTAATACTACTAATTCCTTTTCTTAGGGTCATATTCCTAATCTCACCCTACCTGTTCCTTTTGTCCCTACAACTCGGAGATATAAATGCTTTTCAAATCACTATTACTCTGTGTTGTGGCCTTATAAGGAACTTGGGATTTTCTTTATCCTTCTTTGAATTTTCTAAATTGATTATGCCGAACATATCATATTATCTTTAAATTCTGTTTCTCTGCTACTTTTAGAAACTGTTTATCTGGTACTTTCTTTTTTTTTTTTTCAGTTCTTTTTTAAAATATTAAACAATGCCAATAATCAACAGTAGGGATCAGTTCTCAAACATGGCAAAGAAATTTTTACCTAGATTGTCTTTTATGTACCGAGAACATATTAGAGGCAGACGGGCACATTCTTCCTGGGCTTTCCTCTTAATAAGCAATACTTTGTGGGAAGAAAATAATAACCGGCATGACTTTCTTGACATGAGCAATGACCAATATCCATCTCTCCCTCTCCTTTCCATCGCCTTCCTCCCTCCCATCCTCTTTTCTCTTTTCCAGCTGAAGTACCAGTTGCCAGTTTACGAGGGGAGCAAGGTCCCCGAGGAGAGCCTGGCCCCCGAGGACCACCTGGGCCCCCCGGTTTACCAGGCCACGGGATTCCTGGAACCAAAGGAAAGCCGGGGCCACAGGGATACCCAGGAATCGGGAAGCCGGGAATGCCTGGGATGCCGGGAAAGCCTGGCGCCATGGGAATGCCGGGAGCGAAAGGTGAAATCGGACCCAAAGGGGAGATTGGGCCCATGGGCATCCCGGGGCCACAGGGCCCTCCGGGTCCGCATGGACTTCCAGGCATTGGGAAGCCAGGAGGCCCAGGGTTACCAGGGCAGCCAGGTGTAAAGGGCGAGCGAGGACCCAAAGGACCCCCAGGCCCTCCCGGCCTCCAGGGGCCTAAAGGAGAAAAGGGCTTTGGGATGCCAGGTTTGCCGGGCCTGAAGGGGCCTCCCGGGATGCACGGTCCCCCTGGCCCCGTAGGCCTGCCCGGCGTGGGCAAACCCGGGGTGATAGGCTTCCCCGGCCCCCAGGGACCCCTGGGAAAGCCTGGTCCTCCGGGTCAGCCAGGGCCACAAGGCCCCATTGGGGTGCCAGGGGTTCAAGGACCTCCCGGGATGCCCGGAGTCGGAAAACCAGGCCAGGATGGACTCCCTGGTCAGCCAGGATTCCCGGGGGGCAAAGGGGAGCAAGGGCTGCCCGGGCTGCCGGGCCCCCCAGGCATTCCAGGGATTGGGAAACCAGGCTTCCCCGGAGCCAAAGGTGACAAGGGCATCGGGGGTCTGCCAGGGCCTCTGGGGCCCCGAGGGGAAAAAGGACCCGCAGGCCCCCCTGGGATCGGGGGGTCCCCCTGGAGAACCAGGACTGCCGGGACTCCCAGGTCCCATGGGCCCTCCCGGCGCTATTGGCTTTCCGGGCCCCAAAGGAGAGGGTGGGATTGCGGGGCCCCAGGGCCCCCCGGGGGCCAAGGGGGAGCCAGGGCTTCAAGGCTTCCCGGGGAAGCCTGGATTCCTAGGAGAAGTGGGGGCCCCGGGCATGCGGGGCTTGCCAGGCCCGTTGGGGCCCAAGGGAGAAGCGGGCCACAAAGGTTTGCCTGGTCTCCCGGGGGCCCCAGGGCTTCTCGGACCAAAGGGAGAACCCGGCATCCCGGGAGATCAGGGGTTACAGGGGCCCCCGGGCATCCCAGGGATCACAGGCCCCAGTGGTCCTATTGGGCCTCCGGGAATTCCAGGCCCCAAAGGGGAGCCAGGCCTCCCCGGGCCCCCCGGGTTCCCGGGGGTGGGGAAGCCAGGAGTGGCCGGGCTGCACGGCCCCCCAGGGAAGCCAGGGGCCCTGGGCCCTCAAGGTCAGCCTGGCCTCCCGGGACCCCCGGGCCCTCCGGGGCCTCCAGGCCCCCCAGCCGCGATGCCCCCGACACCACCGGCCCACGGAGAGTATCTGCCAGATGTGGGGCCTGGGATCGACGGGCTGAAGCCCCCGCATGCCTACGGGGCGAAGAAAGGGAAGGCCGGGGGTCCCGCCTATGAGATGCCCGCGTTCACCGCTGAGCTGACCGCGCCCTTCCCACCCGTCGGGGCGCCCGTGAAGTTCGACAAGCTGCTCTACAACGGCAGGCAGAACTACAACCCGCAGACGGGCATCTTCACGTGCGAGGTGCCCGGGGTCTACTACTTCGCCTACCACGTTCACTGCAAGGGGGGCAACGTGTGGGTGGCCCTGTTCAAGAACAACGAGCCCATGATGTACACGTACGACGAGTACAAGAAGGGCTTTCTGGACCAGGCGTCTGGGAGCGCCGTGCTGCTGCTCAGGCCCGGGGACCGCGTGTTCCTCCAGATGCCCTCGGAACAGGCTGCCGGCCTCTACGCCGGCCAGTACGTCCACTCCTCCTTTTCAGGATATTTATTGTATCCCATGTAAAAACACACACACCATAAATAAATAAATACACAGAGATTTAATAGAAGAAAAGAACACGCCACCACAATCGGGTGGATAAATGTAATTAACTGCTTTAAAACTTGTATTTAGTCGAAAAGTTCTATTTAACTGAAAATTTGAACCCTCGTGTACAAATAAAAAATAAAAACTGAGATGCAGTCGTTAGGCTCTGCACAGCCACTGGTGATTGAAAGTGATGGGAGGGGTTTAGGCATCAAGTTACTCACCACGGTGTGGGTACCATTCAGCTCATCAGATCAGCTTCCACCTTAACCTGTTCATTCAGAGCCATCATACCACTTCCACATGAAAGATAGTAAGTTAAGGAACATAACTCACTCTGTTGTTTACTTTAAAGTATCTAGGAATATGGCCTCACACAATGTCAGTGATGGCCAGTACAGACCGTATTGCCTTGCATCGTTGCCTCTCTTTGTGTAGCAACTGGGAGATAGTTGATGGGCATATGGGAGAGGAACTCTTACTGCCCTAGTGGGGAGGGACCCATGACAGGGCTTGGGGCAAAGGGATTTTTCTCTCTTGTCAGCAGCTGGATCTTTTAGGGAAAAAATAAATAAATAAATTCTACTCAAAATCTGCCCTAGTGTCTCTGAACAAGCAAACTCATCAATCAGCCAAGTGTGCCTTATCTGGGCCTAGCCCTGGGTGAGCCGCTTGTTTGGGAATTAGGACATGTCTCTCCAATCCTAACGAATACCTAGGAGATGGACAATAATTAGATCATTTTTTTCCTCATGGGTTCTTTTGTTTTGTGGCTTGTTTATGTGTTTGTTTTGGGGGCCACACTCTAGAACTGGAGTTTTACTTGGCTCAGTTCTGGAGGTTGTTATAAGTGGAGTTGGCTTGTCCTTGGGCCTCTAAGCCATCTCTCCATTCCTGTTTGTGACTTCTTATATTTTTTCTTCCAATTAATTCTCACCATGTCCAGCTAGTATATTTAGGAATCATTAGGAAAAAGTCATAATAACGCTTTCCCTATAAATTTCCCACTTTTATCTCTAAACCCAAATGACTATAATAAGATTTTTACCCATGAGAGGAATAGCAATATTTCTGTCAGCCATTAAATGTCAAAGAACTGTCCTTGCATAGAACATATGCAAATTAGTGATTTCTGAGCTTTCAAGGCCAATTTTTAAAATCCAAATCATCCTTCAATTTTTCTTCTTCCTTTTATCGGTTTTGGGGTCACACCTGGCAGTGCTCAAATTACTCCTGACTTTGCACTCAGGTCAGGACTTACTCCTGAAGGGCTTGGGGACCACATAGAGTGCTGGGGATGGAACCCGAGTCAGTGGCGTGTAAGGCAAGTGCCCTACCTGCTGTACTATTGTTCCAGCTGCATATTTCCTTTTGTAAGGAGAAGAATGAGAATTTTATAGGAAAATTCTTTTTGATGAAAAACTAACTCTTGAAATAGTAAATTTAATATAGCTGTTCTACTTTTTAGGGGAGGAATAAAATTATATAGGAAGAGCTGTTTCCTTAGAAGCAATTTGTAAAAGATCTAATTGGAACATTAAAGGAATTGTTATTCGATGCTTTATATGTCACCTCCAATTCAGCACAAAACAAACTTAAAAGAAAAAAATAATGTTTTTCCAGATTTCCACCTAGTGTCATACCAACTATCTTAGATATTCAAGTTGGGTCTCCAACACAGACAGGACAATTCAGTTGAGTTGTGGTTGCCACTCGAAGCCGCTGGGGAAGTAGTACAAGGTTATGGTTGTAAGTTTCATGTTTTTTATCCTGAAAATTAAGAGTGAGTATCAAGGGGATTGGTACAGACAGGAATGAACAAATAAATACGGTCCAACTAACCATACATGTGACTGTGTCTATGTGAAATCTGAATTATTTCAGCCATTCAGTATATTCTACGCAACCTAATATGCGTTTTTCTTACACAGTGTATGAGCATCAATTTTTTCCTCGATTTCTGAAAAAGAGAAGTGTGTTCATTATCATATGGGCTCTTATTCATAGTTAACTATACAAAAAACTGATCCCATCAAAAGTATGTTTATCTCTACCTTCATTTTCAAAGCATACAACATTTATGTGGCCAAATACCCTTTGAGGTTGCTCTTGAAGATGCTGGTTTTGGGTTGATGACTACGGAGCAACAAGAATCACTGGGTTCTTTCTGCTGAGTAACTGTAGCTGTATTTATCTGTACATGTATGGACCTATTACCTTACACCAAATAAGAAAGTTTGTTCTTATTTGTTCCTGTTCAGTTAAGAGCAAATTTCAAAATATCTTCCAACTTATTTATTGGTTGTTAATCAATTATCTATATATATATAAGTATGTGTGTATGTGTGTATTAATGAGGCATATGCTTCAAACTTTTAGAAGAAGCAGATTCTATGCCGGATACTGTATATTCTACAATGGTGCTAATCTCAGAGCTAAATGAATTACCCCATTTAATTTAAAAAAGAGTTTTAAATAATTATCTATGTGTCTGGTTCTCTCTGGAGTATTGCATATCATGTTAACACATTAGTTTAAAAGCAGATGAGACACCCGCACGTCCTAAAATCTAGGAATAGTGCTATAATTTCTATGTAATTCAAAATCATCTAGAACTTTTCCATACAAAATGGACCAAACTGGCATTATTATTATTATTATTTATTACAGAGTTTTAATGAAGTATGACATCCCACAAGGGAAAAGAATGTCTGTAATAAATGACTGTTCTCAAATATTTTACAAAATTCCATCAACGATCAACAGACTTTTTTGTGTTTCCAAGATAGATTTGAGACTTATCAATAAGAAATCAATTTTGTATTTAAATGTTTGTACTAATTTGAAAAAAAGTCTTATTAAAAATCTTTAAAAGAATGTTTCTCCTCTTGTTCTTATTTCTCAGTTGACACAGATAATCATAACTTTCTTAAATCCCAAGGTGTTGACTAACTGCTGAATCATAACTTCAACATAACTGCTGATTTCTCTTCGACATAAAACCACTCTGAGCATAAGCTGCCTAAGGTCAACATGAAAGCTTCAGTCAGGAAACCAGGTTCTTCTACCTTCCTGCTCTTTCTCCAAAAAAGTGTTTCCTTCAGCTCCAAGATTCTGCTAGGTAACCATCTCAACAACATTTCAGCTGTGGAGGAGAAGGAAATAACCAAGAAGAGGAGGTGGGTTCACTTCTTACAGCATTTAACCAGAGGTTACTTAGCTCACTCTCCACATAGCCAATGGTTCTTATTGTAGTCACACTGCACAATAGGCCAACCTGTGGGAGTGTGAGGAAATAAATATTATTTGGGGCGACAACATTCCCAGCTAGAGATTGTGCTTTCTCTTACTATGAAAAAAGCACAGATATTAGGGGACAATTAGATGTGGCATAATTACAAACAGCATAAAAAAAAAAAACTTCCACAGCTTTTTCTCTCTCTGATCAAAAAAGATTTTTTTTTTCATTTTGTTTTTCACACAAAAGCCACAGAGTTTGTGGAAAGTAGTGAGCAGAGTTACAGAGAATGTGCACACCTGTTTTAAGAATTACAGGGACTTAGTAAGCATCACAGATAAGGAAAGACTTCTATTGTGATGACTTATCAAGCTCAGAAAGATTCTAATTTATCATGTCAAGAATATTGCAAAGGGAGATTCAAACTATTCAAAAAATTACTGTTGCTGGTTAGCTCATTTGTTTAAATCCTCAATCTGGAAAGTCACTGTCACTGTCACTGTCCTCCCATTGTTCATCGATTTACTTGAGTGGGCCCAGTAACATCTCCATTGTGACACTTGTTACTATCTTTGGCATATCAAATATGTCACAGGTAGCTTGCCAGGCTTTGCAGTGTGGGTGAGATACTCTGGAATGAAAGACCATAATTTTTTTTCTCATGTAGCCCAATAAGTTCTATTTCTTTCCACAACTAAAAAAATCTTCTGTAATAGGTACTGGCATTCTTATTTGGATACGCATGCCATGCGCGCGCGTGCGCGCGCACACACACACACACACACACACACACACACACACACACACACACAGAGACAGAAACAGAGACAGAGACAGAGACAGAGACTGAGAGAAAAATGAAAGGATGGATACAGAAGACCAAGGCAGAGAGGAATGTGTGGACAAGTAGGGTAAATCCATCATTAACTACTGTGGCTGAACAGAGTAAATCTAAAAATATGTATCTTACCATGAGTCTCCCGCATGGGCAGAGCCTGGCAAGCTCCATGTGGCATATTCAATATGCCAAAAACAGTAACTATAACAGGTCTCATTCCTCTGACCCTGAAAGAGCTCCCAATTGTTGGAAAAGATGGGTAAGGAGAGGCTTCTAAAATCTCAGGGTTGGGAAAAATAAAGATGTTACAACTGTCATCCCGTTGTAAATTGATGAACAACGGGATGACAGTGATAGTCATACAGTGATACCATGGGTCTAATAGTGGCCCTTATGTTAAAACAAAATACTGAGTAGTACTTACTTTGCATCTGATACTACTAAGTAATTATTATACTACTTATATTACTAAATAATATAAGAGATACAAAAGCTAAAGATAATATGGCTTTTCTCCTTAAAAAAAAATAGTACAGTGGTGGGGAAGGGGGAGGAGCAATTGTACAGTGGATAGACTTTTTGTTTTGTTTTTTTTTTTGCTTTTTGGGTCACACCTGGCGATGCTCAGGGGTTACTCCTGGCTCATGCACTCAGGAATTGCTCCTGGTGGTGCTTGGGGGACCATATGGGATGCTGGGAATTGAACCTGTGTCGGCCATGTTGGCTGCATGCAAGGCAAATGCCCTACCCACTGTGCTGTCGCTCCAGCCCCTGGATAGACTTTTTTCTTTACCCAAGGCTGACCTGGATTTGATCCCTGGCACCTCATATGGTCCCAATGAGAAACACCGGGAGTGACTCCCAGGGCACAGCACAAGACAGATCATAGTTTGATTCCCAGAATCCCATGTTGTCTCCCAAGTACCGCTAGGAGTAATTTCTGAATGTAGTTGTCAGGAGTAACCCGTGAGCACCACCAGGTGTGGCTCAAAATACAAACAAACAAGCGAACAAAGCGCTAGGACCAATGATAGAGTATAGAAGTTAGGGTGCATGCAGAGCATGTAATCAAACAAATT